TACCTCTGTGGTTGATAACCCACATCTAAACTAGGTTGAACCAAAAAATTGAGATTTGGGACCCACGTACAGGACACAACACAGTGGAAGAACATGGGCTTCAAACTAGTATAATGACCTCCTCACCCTGGGCAAGTTCCCTAACCTCTCTAAACCTAGGTTTTCATCTGTAAAATGGGCCCAAGGTATAGTATAGTCTGACTTTTCCCACTTTTACAGTGTCTAGCACCCAGAGGAAGCTCAGGCATTTGATGGCTCCAGCAATGATTCCTTTCTACAAAGAGGGTGAGAGGGTCTCCCCTCCACTAAGTGTTGAACACAGCACTTCAGCCGCCGCCACTGTGATGCAACCCATCCTAAGTGTCCAACGAATCATCGGCCCAATCATCTTCAAAGAACTCCATGGCGATATCTGCTTCAGGAGAGACTTCCCTCCACGCCAACCTTAATCTTCATTCTGGGGACAATCAGTGCCCAGCCCAGTTCTCCTTTGGTCCTTGAGACCTCCTGAGATCTTCTGACAGATTCCTTGCTGTGCCTTCACCTGACCTGTATTCTAGTCATCTCGTGAACAAAGTAAAAGGAAACAAGGTGAGTTTAGCAGCTTGTTCTCAGCAAATCCAAGGTGGTCCCAGTGATCCCCAATGACAGTCCAGCCAAGGCAAGCAGCACCCAGCGACTGTTGCCATGACGCTGCTGGTCGGGGGCACGTTTTCACGCTCTGCCTGCTTCTCCAAAGGGGTGAAAGGCTGAGATGCTGGGTGCCTTGAAGTTCAACAGCTGGTGGCTCCATGTCAGCAACAATTTCAAACATGTAAACTGCTAGTAAATTGGTGATTACTGGATGACTAGTTCTCAATTTAGTATCCCTAAATGAAAACAAAGGGCCTTAGCCCCTCAAATGGGTATTAAACAATGTGTTAAATACTCATTTTCTCCAAATTCCACCCCAAACCCCCCTTCACTGTGCAAAATGAGATAAGCTGAGGGGAGGGTGAAAGCCTCACAAGATGAGGTTTATATTGCACATAGACATGGTATTAACACCAGCACAAAAATAATAGCTGAACATCCACATCTACAAGGCATTTGACATTTATCAACTCATTTAACCCTCGTAAGTTGTACTGTTATTGTGGACATCATAAAAATAAGCCAACTGCAGTTCATGGAAGTGATTTGGCCAGTCTCCCAGGTAGTGGTGGCAGAACAAGGAACTGAACCGAGATCTATCCTATACTTCCCTGCTCACCAGGCCACACTACCAAGCAGAGCAAAATGAAATAACCCAGAGCCTGACCCCACCTCCAACCCCATCTCCTATTCCATCTGACCACCTTCTCCGCAGCCCAGGACACTGCCCCCACCTCGGCTTTGCTCCAAGCTGCAGCACCCCTTATCACATGTCCTGTGACCTGTATTCACCTCTACATTCAAGACTTGCACTGAGCCCCACCTCCTCCCCATCCTTTCCCAGCAACCTCAGCGAACGAGAGCTTTACCCTCCCCCGACTCCTATTTCCGCTGTTGGTATACAGTTCTGACTTATGCTCCACTGTTCACATGCACACTTATCCATCATGAGCCCAGACGGCAGCAGAAAGCAGATCCAATCTCTCTCCTCTGACCTGCGCCATGCCCAGGGTGTGATGGACAGGTCTGTTCCCTTCACAGCACCCTTTCCCGGGATGATTAACGTGGCTCCCTCAGCTCTGGCACTTAGAGCCTAGAAGGCTGATGGACTGATGACCTGTCTCTGCGGCCAGCCCGTGTTCCCATTAGAAGCTGCTCCTCCTCAAGGGGGAGGGATGCATTAAGTGTGCCAGGTGCTGTAGCAGACACTTCACAAATACTTCACCTCATTTAATTCTCCTAAAAACCCAACGACGAGGATTCATCATCCCCACTCTATGAATGAGGAAAGTGGGTCAGGTCAATCACTGAAGGGGCTGAAATCCAATGCTCATTCTGCTCAAGTATGAAGCCAGCCTTAATTCCACTGCACCCGTGTCAGAGGGAGAAAAGGCAATACTTTACCTACATACAGGCATGTCTGTGCGATGCACTTCCATATGTACAATCACTCTGAAATATAGAGCTTACCTTTTAATTCCGTCTATGGGCTATTTTCATCCCCAAGAGGGTAGACATTCCACGGTGCCTTTTGTGACTAAAATCCTTAGGGAGTAAAATCCATCTTTGACACAGGAGAGAGATTAAGATGGTTTCTATCCCATTCCTAGTCATTCTCAGTTGAATCCACCCACAATCACACCCAACCAGTTCACAACATACGCATAACACACTGCTATGCTCTGGGACCTCCTGGAATTGGCATCTTCCCGATTCACCTTGTGGTAGGTACTCCGGCACCTCAGCCCCTGACGTGGAGAGCATAGCCCACTCCTTGGTCTAACTGCCTCTGACCAGGATGCACTGCACTAGCCTTCCGACACACTCTTCCAGGAACAACCCCCCACTACACCACCTGCTGCACAGCCTGACCCTAAACAGGTGAGGGTGAAGGGAACAATCCTCAAGGCACACACATACACCTCACACAAGCTCACCATTTGGCAGGTTTTCTCTTTCCCTGGATCTAATGTCACCAAGAATCCAGGATCTCAACAAAAGAGATGACATAATCATAACCATTTCTTAGCCTGATGTGTAATTCAACACAGCAACGGGTCGCTGGCCCAGCACATGTGACTTTTCCTGCCAACTGAAGTCTAGATCAGGGCTGACCTTGCCACCCACTTCTGGTTTGCTGGTATTTGGAGTAGTGACTATCTGATAGCCCTAGCATTACTGGATAATAAATGGCCACAGATGCTTATGAATGGCATCCTTCCTCTCTAAACTAGAAATCTCAAACCACAGGGGCTCCCAGGTCTGGGACAGATCATATCATTTCTCCAGGAAGGAACCCCTCCAGGACTCTGAAGCCAAACAGAAATGTAAGACCTTGACAGTCAGTGAAGGTGACCACAGCCAGAGCTCTTTCTTCACGGGGGTGTTTTCCTATTGCTACAAGTGTCCGTCCTACTAGCTGAAAGCCACAGATCTCGTTTGATAGGCGGCAGGGAATACATTACACAAACCCAGAGAAAAAAATCCACGTGGATAGAAGAGAAGGGAACCAATCAAATATCAAGAATCTAGACCAAACCCTTAGCATCTGGTTCTGATGCGGACAGACGTAGAAGCACGGCAGCAACCACAGGAATGACAAGTAATTGCAAAGACAAGAAACAGTGCACCAGAGTTTACTCCCAGTGACGTGAACACTGAACCTCTGAAATAATGACATGGCATGTCGGTTGGCAAATGAAAAGACCATTTTTCAGAAAAGGTGGAAGCAGGGGCTGTTCTGGGGGCTGGAGGAAACACTACTGAACCTGAAGACTGGGCTCGATCAATCAGGCACTACCTGGGCCAGGAGCTGACTGCTCAGAGCCATGGTAAATTGAAACGCACATGAAAACAGAATAGCCATTGCAATAGAAGGCTCCTAGATCTGAACACTGTCACTGAATGGGTACCACTGAGCAACTTAAACTCCCAGAGGTAGGAAAATGATAGTAATACCCAGCCTCAGAGGTTATCACAAAACTAGAATAACAGCTGATGTAAAGTGCTCATACAGACCAGACACAGAGGGAATGGCCGATAACGGGTCACTAAGACTCAATGGGTGGTTACAATACTGCCCAACACAGTGCTGAGCACCTTGCGCGACTATCTTGTCATACTTGATTTGTCTTCTAGATGTTTCTAAAGCTACACATGCTCTTATGTATAAATATGAGCATAGGAAAACTCCTAGGATATACACTAAAAGGCTAGGAATATGACTTTTCTTCTTGCTTACCTTTTTCCAAAATTTTCTACAAACATTGCTTAATGAGGTATAGTACTATTTTATGCTGAAATACATTAAAATGTAACAAAAATCAAAATATTACTCACAAGAAAGAATTCCCTGCATGAGCCTTTTCTCTTAAAGGCAAGAGCTAAGAAAGCTGTGCTTTCCTTTTTAATAAGAATCAGCCGATTTATCCCTACCTTCACTTTGCCACCAGGAAGGGCAGAGTCAGAATTTTAGTTCAGTCACTGGATTAGCTTATTCTTTTCATGTTTCCATTTTAATTTCCCCAGTCTTTACTTTCTATTCTAATTTTTATTTCTTAACCTGATTTTGTAGTTCTTATTTTTATATTTTACTACTTTTCCCAGTTTTTATCATAAATTTGAAAACCGAGGCCAGGTAGACACACACATACATACAAACTGCCCACTTAAAAGGACTGCCCACTTAAAAGGACTGCCAATGACTGTGCCACGCACTTCACATTTTGTCCCTGCATTTCAGAGTTCTTGGGTTAAGACATCAAATAACAGAATTACAACTTTAAACTCTACTTGAGGGTTTTTTTTAAATGCAAAACTGCAATATCTCCCTGTAATAACATACCACAATTTTAAAAGTTCTAGAAGTCTCATAAGAAAGTCAGTTTTATTATTCAATTCTCAAAATTACATGTATTTCTTTAATTATAAAAAGTTTCCATCCCCAACTCACCTTTTTTTTTTTTAATTTATTGATTTAGAGAGAGAGGGAGAGAGGGAGAGAGGAAGGGAGAGAGATAAATAGAGAGAGACACACTGATTTGTTGTTCCACTTATTTATGCATTCATTGGTTGCTTCTTATATGCGCCCTGACAGGAGATCAAACCCGCAACCTGGCGTATTGGGACAACGCTCTAAACAACTGAAGTACCCGGCCAGGCCCCCAACTCACCCTTCTTCACCCACCCTCCAAACTGGTATTGTCCAAGCAGAAGCAAGTCCAGTGAAGCCCACCCTATACCCAAAAGCAGGACAGGAGATCCCCGGAAGACAATCTGATGCTGGTGTCATCAGCCACACCGCAGAGCTCTCATGCAGGAGAGAAAGAAAAAGACAGCTAACATGACAAACAGGAAGGCAACTGGAATGGGCAGCCTGAAAAAAGACTTTTATAATTTATACCAATGTACAAATATGGTAGGTAGGTGCACACCAACTGGGAGAACAGACCAAACTAATTTTAGTTCAGTCTGTCTCCCTAGGTCAGGTCCTCCTAATCAGGAATCATTGGGAAGCCCAAACAGCTTCACAGTTCCTGCTTCCCGACTGCTGTCATATTTGCCATCTTTGTCATCACAGGCAAATGCCAGCAGAGGCCTTTTGGGGTGCCAAGCCACAGTGAAGGTCGGGGACTCACACTGCACCTCCCATAGCTTGTCTCCTATAAAAATCAATATAGAGAAACCAATCAATACATTAATAAGAGACCACACTCATTAAGTACTTAGCTCTATTAACTCATTTAGCCCACTTAATAGTCCCCTGAGACAGATACAATCATTACCCCACTTTACAGAGAACACTGTGGCACAGAGAGGTCACAAGCCATTTGGTGGCAGAGCAGGATCTGAACACAGACCGGTTAATTTAAGAGCCTATGCTCTGTCCCCCTGTTCTACGCTCCCTGGGAAAACTTAACAGCAGCTGATGTTTGTTGAGCACCCTTATAAATCACATGGACTAAACTTTCTTTCCATAAAGTATGAGAACCCAGCAAGACAGGTAATGATTTTAAACACCATTTTATAAAGAAATGGGTGACTTAACAGGTAAGTCGCACAGAGTCACGGGTAAGTCACACAGAGTCAACACATGAAGTCAATCTGTTTCCAAATCGCAGATCTATCTATTAAATCTCAATGCCTTCTAATAACAGTAACAAGCTCTTTTTCCCAAGATTTCATTCCTCCTACTTACTGAAATTAAACATGATTTTCTAAAGCTGTTATTCTTTTAATCCTGCTTAACTTCTTTCACCTTTAGGATTAAGATTAATGTAGTAAAACAGAATGTGGTGCCAATTAAAATTATAGAATACACTCAAATTATATACTTCAAACTAGCCAACTATATGGTATGTGAATTATATTTCAATAAAGCTGTTTCGTGTGTGTGTGTGTGTGTGTGTGTGTGTGTACGTGTTGTGTGTGTGCAGGAAAAGAGAGAAAGGGAGGGAGGGAAGGAAAGAGAAAGAGAGAGAAATTCTACTTCTGGGACAGCTAACCACTCTTTATGATGCTAGGATCTGGCAGCCCACATCTCTATGTCTGAGCAAAATTCTGAGTTACAGAGACACAGAGAATGGTTTCAAAGCATGCTGCTCCTCCTTCGTTTCTCTTTAGGCCTTAAACTCCACATCATTTGATATGGGATTGATAAAGAAATGTACATAGTTCAAGAGAACCAGGGTAGACATGAAGAGGCCTAAAATGTTTCCCAAACAACCATGTGGCTTCATAAACTTTAACATCTTCTTAGTTTATTGGAAAGTTTAATCTTTGAATGTTAAGTGCTGACTGTGACAATGACATTACTATTCCAGACCATCAAAGTTCCAACAGACTTACGCAATGTGTATGGGTGTGTCTGAAAAGCTGAAAATTAAGTGGGCTGTATTAAAATGAGGTTCTATGGCATATGCTATCAGGAATAAAATTTAAATTCCTACTTTGCTTTACATTTAACCATTAAAAATATGTAGGATACAAAATTATACCTAATATATGTTTTCAACACCAGAAAAAATTATATGTATGTAGGAGGAAAAGACGGGCCGAAAAAAACATGCTAAAATGTTAGTAATGATTATCTCTAAATTATGGACCTCTATGTGCCTGTTAATTTCTCCTTTATATTTGTTAGCATTTTCTGAATATTCTATAACGAGCATGTATTACTCTTACTTTACAAACTACTATGTGAAGACATGCTTTACTGCATAAAATTCAAACAGGTCAAGGGTACAGAGCAGCACTGTACTCCACATCTGTGACAGAAACGTTCTCTACCAGCACTGTCCAACACAGCTCCCACTGCCCATGCAGGGCTACCGAGCCCCTGAAAGGTGTTAGGGTGACTGAGGAACTGAATTACTAATTTTAACTGGTTTCAGTAATAATTCATGATTTAAATCTATTATTTTTCCCTAATTAAATCTCCCCCTAATCTTACAAGTCTGATATATGTTCTTCTGAATGTTTTTCCGCCAATTTCACTTCAGGTAATTTACCTAAAGGGGGCACCTCACATGCACGTTGGCTGCCTGCTTTGCTCATTCATCACTCAGTACTGTGCTCGTGCATCTCCCATTTCGGCACCGAGAGCTAAGTCTTTCTCTTGGCACACTGTAATCTGGATATGTCACAACTTATTCATTAGTCCACCATAATAAAAATGTAGAATGTTTCCCATTTATGTATAAAAATGCTGTAAAGTAATATAATTGTGCTTTACTTGATAATCATCTTGCTTTTAATTTTTAACCTAGGCAATAGAAAATATTTTTGTTTAAAACCCAACATGTTAAAAGTATGTCTAAATAATACTGTATGTCAACTATAACTAAAAAATAAATTTAAAAAATAATAATCTCCAAAAAAAGATATTTGTTAAACTATTTAGAAAAAGTTAATACAGCCACATTGAATATATTCCTGAAAGAGTACATGTGAATTACATCATATTTTACATATATTCGGTAAGGTAGAAAATGAAAAGAAACTTGCTCAAAGATGGCATGGGAGAAACGTACACATACACACTGCTGCTAAGAGCAAAACTGCAGGGACTTTTCTGTAAGGTGGTTGGTCCTTCACAAAATGTGAACACCTTGGACTCAGCAATGCCACTTCAACAGTTTACCCAAAAGGATGACCACATAAGTAAAATGAATTACATAAAGGACACTCATCACGGCATTATTTATAATGGTGCAAAAATCAGAAGCCACCTAATAGTATATACATGAAACAGTACATAGAATGGAATTCTAATCCCACACAAAGTGGCAGAAAGCTCAGCAGCCACCGCCGCATAAGCAGCTGTCACATTCTGCAGGTGAGGCGGTGGCCCTGGAATAACAGGCGAGTACCCCCACACCACAGGAGCTGATGGCTGGACCGTGCTCCCCACAGTGGCTTTCTTTAAATCATGGAACTGCAAGTTTTTTACTTCTTCTTTGGAGTTTTCTTTGTGATTTGAATTCTTCTACTAAAGTATCATTATTTCCAAAAATAACTCAGCTACAGTAAAAAATAAAGCTGAGAAAATTCTTTTATAAACTGATTACTCTCCTCCCATTTTTCTGTTTGCAAGTTCTGTTTTGTTGTTTTCAAAGCAAATTACATCTATTTTGATAATTCCTAAAATTAAATATATATATTCACATACGGGCAAACGATAAAAAGAAATATATTGCAATGCTAAAAAAAGAGACAGCAGCTAAATGGTGGGACCACAGGACACCCTTTCTTCCTCCTACTTCCTGTATTTTAAATTTTTCATTATAATGAAAGAATTAAAAGTTAATAAAATGGGAATGTTTTCTTCACTCACGTTCCTTCAGACCCGCCCCTGCCTTTCCTAACTCTTCACTCCCTCAGTGCCTGACTCGAACAGTCATAATAAACTTGCCTTAAGGAAACAAATTCATTTATGCTAATACTGATGGAGTAATGCGCAGAAATGAAAACTCATGACAAGAGAAGTTCTGATGGCCAGAAAGACAGAAGATTTTCACTAAGGTAGGGAGGGTGTAGTTACCTGTCTCTACTTCAGCAATGTCAATAAAATGATCTTCCGATGCTGACGCCAGCATTTTCCCATCATGGCTGAAACTGAGGGTCCTCACAGGCCAATCCAGCCTATAATACAGAGCAGACAAAGGAGAAATTAGAATAACCCAGTAATATAGGGATGTAATGTACAGCATAGAAAATTAGTCAATAATATTGTAGTAACTACGGATGGTGTCAGAGGGTACTAGACTTATCGGGGAAATAACTTTGTAAGGTATGTAAATGTCTAACCACTATGCTGTACACCTGAAACTAATATAATATTGAATGTCAACTGTAATTGAAAATAAATTTTTTTTTTTAAATAACCTAATAAGAAGGCACAATTTCACCCAAAATGAAATAAAATTATCCAATAAGGAAAGTGCTGGCAGAGCTGCTTACCTAGAAAAGCACCGAACACACACTAATTCATCTACATCCCAGAGGCTGACCAAAGCATCTGCACTTCCTGTGGCAAAGTACTTCCCCATGGGGTCAAACTTGATACAGATGCAGTTAGAAGGATGGGCGTTGATGGACTGCACAGGCTTCAGCTCTGGGTAGCTGCGAAACAAGACAGACAGCAATCAAATGCGGGAAGAGGACTGTGGTGCTAAAAAGATAATAGGCGACACCGAAGAAGAAAGCCAAAGACAACAGAACAAATATCAAACACTAATTCAAGAAAGCTTTCCTGAAATGCAGATTGCAAACAACATATTGAAACAGCACACCACAAGCCTAAGAATATGAACCCAGATGTGACACAGTAGTAAAATTACTGGATTTAAAGAAAATGAGATTGTCATTAGACCCTTTTGGCAGTAAAACTTTATGCCAAAAGAAAATATAATAACATATTTAAGATACACAAGCAAGAAAATACAAATCAAGGATTTTTATATCTAGCAAAATTGAATATCAATTATAAAGAGTTCAAACAAGTATAATATAATAAAGCATCTATAAGTCTTCTAAGTATATGTTATAATAACTATAAACTCAGGTAATATTGTTCCCATGAACGGTTCCTGGGAAATCTAAACTAGAGAATGAGCTTTCACGATCAAAATGACTAGAGACTTATCAACATAGTGCTGGTGATGACTATTACATACAGTTTCTTGGAGAAACTATATATGGTTTAAAAAGAAGGTATAATATGGAAGGGCTCTATACTGTGACAATATATAGTATTACTTTTTTTTTAATGTATCTTTATTGACTTTAGAGGAAGGAAGGGAGAGGGGGAGAGATAGAAACATCAGTGATGAGAGAGTCATTGATCGGCTGCCTCCTGCATGTCCCCCACTGGGAATCAAGCCCGCAACCCAGGCATGTGCCCCACCAGGAATCGAACCACCATCTCCTGGATCATAGGTTGATGCTCAACCACTGAACCATGCCTGGCCGGGCTTACTATTTTTTTTTAATGGAGGAAGAATTAGAAAAGTATATGCAAAAAGCAAAATGTACTGTTTTAAGTAATGACACTGGTGGTGGTGGTGGTGGTAGTTATTCCGACGTAACTGTATGTGTAACACGGGATAAAGGTAATAAGTAACCATAGGACATTCTAATTCTATAATCCCCTGCATCTCTGAGAATCAGAATACTTGGTTTGGAAGGAAAGAGATTTGTAACATAGAAGAGGTTTAGTAAAATTCCTGTAGTCCTGAATTTTAATTGGAAGTCATCAATATGAATTCACAGGTATTTTATCATTAAATATATATTTCCCAGCTCTGTCCACCGGAAAGGCCTAGAAACAATGGCCAACCCAGCAATATGGACATTCCTAGCTCCAGTATTATTTCCCAGTAAAAAAATCCAAGGATTTATAGAGAATTTTCTGATCAAAGTTCTGGAGTAGAAAATATACAAGATGAAGCCGAAACACCTTATCATTCCAAAGAGCAAGAAACTAAAGACTACTAAAATTATGCCCCCAAAACTGACTCAGAAATCAATTTAAAGTGGCTCCCACTGACCAATGATGGGGTAATTTGAACCTCAATAAAGATAATAATTACAAAAGATCAAAACACATCTACAATGCTTAAATACCTGAGTCTTTAATGATTCTTTAAAAGAAAAAAAAAAGCCTACCTAGTCATCTTTGAAGATGAAGGGAACTAATTCATTACCCGATGATAAAGGGAAAGAATCAAGCATTTATCCTGCCTTTCCTAAATGAACTATATTCCTGAGTAACCAAGCAGTAGGTGAAAGGAAATGTCTAATATTCTAACAAATAAATAAGCATTATGAAATCATCAAAATCCAGAGTGGGAGAATCTCTACAGGTTAATAGTCTGGTTTTTCAACAGTTAAGTTATAAGTGAAAGAAAGGGATGAAGGAGGACCATCTAGTTTAACAGACTTAAGAAACTTATCAAACCTTTTTAAATGGGCAAAAACTAGAGTATCTAGGGATGCACACTTGGTAGCTAAAACTATAATTATAAAACTCAATGCCCGGCCGGGCGTGGCTCAGCAGTTAAGTGTCGACCTAGGATCCAGGCCATCAGGGTTCGATTCCCGGTCAGGGCACATGCCCGGGTTGTGGGCTGCAGCCGATCAATGACTCGTCATTGATGTTTCTATCTCTCTCTCTCCCTTTCCTTTCCTCTCTCTGAAATCAATAAAGATATATTTAAAAAAAAAAAAAAAAACACAAACCAACAAAGTGTTCCTGGTATATCACAAATAGTACATAAAACTAAAAAAAAAAAAGATAGTGTTGACTTTTAAGGGGACTGAGTTATGATTAGGATTTTAAAGCCTATGGACTGACTTCTGGGATGGCCAATAAAGTACTATTCTTCGGCCTGAGTGGGGTTATACAGGTGTAATGCATATAATTGTTCATTAAGCTACATGATTGTTTTACATGGTTCTCTACATCTGTTTTACTTTCTAATAAAAAGGCTTTAAAAGAAAGTTATAGAATCCCCACAGCCTACAGAATAAAATTCAGGTTGCTAAGCCCAGAAATCCAGGCCTTTCGTAATCTGGTCCCAAATTGTATTTCAACTTTATCTTCCCATTTTTGGACTCTCTCTTCAGATACCTTAACTGCCACTACTCTCAGCAACCCTGACGTACCAACTACTCTCTAAATCGGGGGTGGGGGACCTTTTTTCTGCCAAGGGCCATTTGGATATTTATAACATCATTTGTGGGCTATACAAAATTATCAATTTAAAAATTAGCTATGAAAAAAACTCCTAGATTTATTGACTTTTGAGTCCCATCTGCGGCTGCCTTGCAGGGCTAGACCAAATGATTTCGTGGGCCGGACGTTCCCCACCCTTGCTCTAAATAAATCATGGTCATTCACACCTGTTTTCTCAACTGTGCAGTTCCCTTTTTCTGACTCTTAAAATTCTACTCATCTTTCAAGGTCAAACTCAGAAACTGTCTCCTTCAACCCACAACTCAAGTTTCTTTCCTTGGGATTCCACAGGAAACTCCTAGCCTCCTTAAAGTAAAACCTATTTCACTCTGCCTTACATTGCTCATCAAGGAGAATAGAAAGGAAGACCTGAATTTCAGTTCCACAATTTCATTCATTTAGAGAGCAAGTATTTACTGAAATCCTTACTATGTTTAACGGGTACTAGATGAGGCACTAGGGAGTCAACAGTAAACAAGTTAAACACAGTCCCTACCCTCATAAAATTTAAGTCTAATGGAGCATATAGATGCGTAAACTTATGCAATTGCAATATAAAATGAGAAATGTTACCAGAAGATATAAAATAAGCCTCTAACCTTGGGGGGAGGAGGGAGTGTGAAGATGACTTCCCTGGAGGGAATACAATATTTAAGCTGAGACTTTAATGGTACAAACTAGCCACAATTCAAGATGCATCCAGTTTCAGTGCTCACTAGCTGACTAGTGACTCTGAATCCCAAATCCTTGCCTATCAAATGGGAAGCACCCCATCAACCCCCCCTAGAATTTCTGTGAGGACCCAGCTCTTTATTACTCTCTCTCCTTTAAGCTCCTTCAGGACAGACTCACATCTAATGCATCTCTGTAACCACCAGAACACCCAGCTGCTAGAGGAAGGACAGTCCCCTCAGCCAGAAGCCCCTCACCTGAGGATGTTGATACAACCATTGCCATTCGTCAGGAAGAACATGTTATTGTCATTGTTCCAGGAGATCTCGTTGACCTCGAACTTGAACTGCTCCTCAGCTTTTGAGCGGTGTGTCTTGGCATCAATGAAGGTCACTACATCATCCTTGTTGCCCACAGCAATGGTCTGCCCATCAGGGCTCCAGCAGATATTAATGTTCTCCCCTAGAAAACCAAATATAATCAGTAAGATACCCTGTTGGCCCAGAATCCTCCAGAAGTTAATTTTGTTTTCCTAGAAGGAAGGCCAGAGTTACCTCCAGAGTTCATTCATTAAGGTCATAATCAATGGAAGGCAGCTAACACTTGAGGATCAGCAACCATGAGTCAGGCACATTCATCCACAAGTTTCCCCATTTGGTCTTCACAATACTCTATTTGTTAGCAATTCGTTATCCCCATTTTACAGACGAAGAAATGGAAGATAAGAGAGAAGAGCCAAACTGTCAAAGCTTGAAGTAACAGAGCCACCAGGTTTGGCTCCAAAGCCTCATATTCTTACACCAGAATTACCCAAACTCCAGTCATTCACATGCCACTTACACAATTTCTGTCCTATCCATGGAACAGCTATATTTTTCTTTACTGAAGACTTTTCTTAAAATTGACTCAAAAAAAAAAGTTTCATAAATTTAGCTTTAATTTAGCAAAAAACTCAATGAACTGGGGTTTTTCCTAAACACTAAAACATATACAAAACTGTGTATATAAACATATATATGGTATGTTCATCCACATAACCCTAAATCACTTATGCATCACCAGTTGTATACTTGGGGAAATCACTACATCATTCCACCTACAGGTACAAGTCCTGTCAGTCAAGTCCAGTGCCCCACACTGAGCACATCAACTAAAAATTTCATCAACTTTACCAATTCTAAGATGCATATTTTTTCATATTTTATTATCTATGACGCATCTTTTTTTTTTTTAAACATATCTTTATTGATTTCAGAGAGAGGAAAGGAGGAGAGGAAAGAGGGGATGAGAGAGTCATTGATTGAGGCCGCAACCCAGGCATGTGTCCTGATCGGGAATCGAACCCCGATCTCCTGGATCCTAGGTCGACACTCAACCGCTGAGCCACACCCGGCCGGGCTCTATTATGCATCTTAAAATGCACTGACTGCATCTCAAAATTTTTAGCGTGCATGGTTATCTGGAAGCCTTATTTCCTCTCCTACTGGCACTTAAAATACTAGTGCATCTTATAATCAATGACAATCCTAATCAATAAAATATGGTAAATTACCTCAAGGTTTACAGGACAAAACCTGGTAAATGCACTGCACAACTTCCAGGTCCACCGGGACCATCCAACCTTCAGCCATCCTAGTATATCAGCAGTTTCCCAAATTCTCCACGCCTTTGCATATGCTGTTCCCTCCTAGAGCTGCCCTGCCTTCCCACTGCACCTTGACCACTAAATTCCTATGGATACTCTAAGAGTCTGCTCAAATCCTATGAGGCCCTCCCTGTCTCCCCCAGGCAGGCCTAAGCATTTCCACTCTGGGTATCCACTTTATAGACATCTCCACTATAAAATGAACCATGTCCTATTTTGTTAGGTGATTGTTTTTTATGTACTAAAATGTGATGTCCTTGGAACTCAGGATGTTCCATAACTAGCACCAGGCCAGGAACAGAAAAGATATTTGGAAAACGCTTGTTGAATGAATGTAAGTAGCTTATCTTCCTATTGCCCTCTCTCTGAAGTCACCTTTAGTGTTGACAGTAGCGATGCACTTGGTAGTCCTCACATCCCAGATGCGGATGGTTTTGTCTCCAGATGCAGTGACAAAGAGGTCAGGGTTACTTGGATGCCAACAAAGCTGGTCCACACTATCCCCATGTCCACGATAATTGTTTTCTTTGACCTAAAAGAACAAAATCCGGGTGTCATTCACACATACGTACTGCCTCACATGCAATTCTTTAACTTTATTCAAACCACTGTACCTGTGACCAACAAAAAATTAGAGAACTAGAGAGAGTCCGGTTCTTACAAGCCTCTTTTGCAAAACTCCTGCCAAATCCCCCTTCCCTTCCTCCCCAGTCACCCCCAACCACCCCCAGGCTGGATTCCACATGAACGCCATTACTCTTGCCCACCCTGGCCTGCCGCCTCCTTTCTGGTTTTCCACCCTCACTCTGGCCCCAAGGTTCCCAACTCACCTCATTCCCACAGGAGGGGCGCTATCATAGTCAGAGGGGCCCTCCTCACCACACAGGGACCCCACAACACCCCTAGCTACCCTCACCACACAAATCCTTCCTACTGCTCCCGGCACCCCTGCTCCCCTGCTCCCCGCAGACCCATCCACCCTCCACCACCTGTCTGCACCCTCTCACCTCCACAGGCGGGCAGCTTCACCGCTTCTGACTCCACACTTCCCACACCCCCCTCCTTGCCCCTCACCCTCCCTAACCCCC